TTTTTTCTAAAAAAAATATTATAAGATTGATTAAATGAATTATAAGTATACATTTTGAATAATTTTAATTTAATGATAAATTTTTTAAGTATAATTTATCGACAATGATTCCATGTTGGTGATAAAATAATATATTACATTTTATGCACTTACGAATCCACAGATATGCACAGTGGCTTCGACAAAGCAAGCCAATAAGAATATACGAATTATGGGTTCGCTGTTAATGTGATTCGTTCTTTCCTTTACACTCTTTACACGTATTTATCAGAATATTTACAATTTATTATTAGATAACGAAGTTAAGATTCTTATTATTAAGTACCGGCGGCTCCAACGGCGCGTAGCGCAAAAATACGTTCTTGAACTCGATCTTGCCTTCCTGCGGCCATTCGGACTTGGGCTTTTTACCAGGAGCACTTTCGAGAGGAGGCTCGCTGTCCACTTTGCTGGAAAAAGATTGAAACAGAAAATATGATAACTGTTATTTTATTGAGTCACATTTTGAGAGAGATTGCTGCACGGATTTTTTTCTCAGTCCCCTACGCCACACTATTATTTTGTACTACCCTTCATAAAATAAGTTTAAATTGATGTATGACCTCGAATTTAATGTTTTTCAAAATATCCGTGGTAGTTCGATCCGGGTGTATAAAGATAAGCACGCGGCGTGGAGTAATAAATATCAAAGATATTAAAAAATTAATTAAGTACTTGTATTCAAGGATGCGCTCCACCGAAGTCATTTGGTTCTCCAATTCTGCGCTCTGACGCATGCCCCACTGGAACATACCGGTGAGACCGATACTCTGCGTGATCGCCAGGCCTACAAATCCTCCATCCATTGAACCTTGACTGTAGTTGTCTAGCACGAGAAAGCTCAGCGTGATCAACGTGATGTACAGTACACAGAAAACATCCAGCCAAAAACCGAAGGCGCGCGAGATCGAGATAAAGATATACCATGCGGACGAATGAATATCCTGATAATTATCAAATTCCTTTGTGAGAATCGCTTCCGCCCCAAACGCGCGAATCGTCGATAACCCCTGAAGTGTCGCGCTTAGGTGAGTAAAGCCCGGCGAACGTGCTAAGAGAAATTAGAAATTCCATTTAGTTTACCCGAAATGAATTACAATTTATCGTACATTCCATGAGATTAATGATTTGGTTTCTATCTGTGATGGAATTTATTTTAGTCTATCAAAGACACTGTGTTGACTAGCAAAAGATGAGTTTACGATACTCACTGATGCCTTCAAGACGCTTGATGCTACGATTGCCAGATAGAAGATTCTCATGTAATAAAAGACAATACCAATTAGCACCGTGGGTATCAGCAGCCATACGTTCGCGGTGGCTACCACAATGATAATGCCCAGCAGCGCTATACCGATCTGAAGACAGTCAATAAACGCAGCGGGCAGCATCTCATCAACCGTTCCCATGTCTTTGGAAAAGCGATTGAGTACACGTCCCGAAGTATTAACGTTAAAGAATCGCATAGTGGCGCGGCTAATGCTGCGAAACATGCGATCGTACGAGCGCATTGAAGCCCTCATGTATGTCCAAAAAAACGTCCATGAGCGGATAAGGGTGATGATGATTGTTAACACAATCAGCCCGCTATAGATGTAGATGCACTGCATGCGGGTGAGAG